TTCCACAAAAAATAAATGCGGATGAATTTTCATGTTTGATTTTGCGACAGGTCGTGAGAAGAAATATCGTAGGCGCCGAAAACATTAGCCTATCCAACGCTGCTAGGCTAGGCCTAGCCTTACCTTTATTTAGGTTCTGTTATCACATAAAAACGGCCGACATGATATTTTCCGTTGCTAGTAATGACACTTGTGTAATATAATATTTCATAGGAATTATTTCAAATTTGTTAAAAACTGATTCTGACTGAGATTTTGACACTTAAACAAACATATCTCAACCTAACCGAACGAACGCATTGTGCGAGATGCGAAGTACAAAAACTAATCTCACTAGAGAGGGCGCACTTTATTGACTATAAAGTATACATAAAAGCGAGAGTATTCCAGTGGATGTGATCTACAACCTCTGAATTTGCCTAGTAACGATGAATTCGTCGAGAAAATGGTAATATTTTATGATGTCTGAATAAACAATTATTTTTAGACTGAAAATTTGGAAACTGCTCTTGTGGGATTAAAGGTATTTTTACCGACACACATTATGGTACTGAATAATAATTAAGCGAGATTTTTTTTATTCCTTGTTTCGCGAAGTTTTTTTTTCAAAGATCTTCTTTTATACCAATTATTTTTTTAAGGATTGTCAGAGAAATTCGGGAAAAAAAAGAAAAATAAAATTTTGTTTTCTTATATAGCAAATGGTTTTGCCAAAAACATCCAGAAGGAGAAGAATATCAAAATAAAGTCTATTAGTGAATGTAAACAGTGTAATAACAGGATGGTTAAATGCTTTAAATTCATATAATTTGGAAGGAATATCGAAAGGTCCACTGATTAATCTCAGATAAGAAAGTATAATACATACTCCAAGTATTGAAATACACGCCATCGTGTTGGGATTCAATATTTTGACATTAATTATGTCATCATCAGGAATGGAAGGAATATACATATATTTTTGAAGATTTCAAGGCAACGATAGGCCTAATAGAATTAAAGAAAAACTTTTATTTTTTTCAGAAATATCTATGCTCCCTGGGCCCAGGGCTGCCGGGCTGGCCTGTATTGAATTGTTAGTTTACTATAATGCATTCAATGGTGATACCCTCATTATTTTGTGATACATTATATTGCATAGAAGTGATAACATAAATATCTTTAGGAGTTAAGGACATATTATTATATTAATACTAATGATAATTAATAGGAGATGATGGTTATTACTATAAATATATGGGTTTTTATATAAGTAATAGTTGCATGGCCATATAGGAAAACAGCTATATGTTATCTAGTTTTACTCGGTAAAAAAGAAAAATATTGAATTATTACAAAACAATAGTATAGTGGGGAAATGCTGTCATATTTACATTCAACAAATTACAAAATGTTTGAAAATGTATATCATAGAGCATAATTATCTACCAGAATTAAATGCATTACCTTAAATAAAAATAGCTAGAAAAAGTAAAATATCCATTTTCTTGTGGACTAATTGGCACTAATTGGCCAAAAATAACATTTTATTTTTATTTGAAATGATTACTGGCAGGCGGCGGGTTGGCTGGCTAAACAACGTATAAAAAAGTCTCCCCTTATGATAATTATATAGAATGTAATTATTCATATAATTATTTTGTAATGTAAACATTCATTTTAAAAGGACAGATAAAAGTGGGAGATTGTACTAAAGACAAATATTTATCTTATCTTGTATTAAAATAAATGCAGATTAAATGAAGTGATTTATGGTTGTACCATTTGGATAATTATAGCATGAGCTTGTAAGAGGAGCTTCATCCCCTTTGTATGACTAGCCGTGAGATTTCACGGTTGACCATCATTGCAGTATTATATCCCATTTGAAAAGTGACCATGTTTTGTTAGGGGATCTCATTATTACTTTGTCTAATATTTGATTTATTGTTTTGTTACGTGTGGTAGGTTTTCTTTTGTTAGAGATATGATATTATTTGGGGTAATGATCATTTTTTTTGTCCTTATGCATGTGATATTATGATTATTTGTTTTGTTATAGGGAGATATTATTGGTTTGTTCTATTGTTTTGTTAAAGAAAAGATGGGTTATCTTTTGTTAAGAGATATGTTGCCTGTTAATGGTTGTGATTACCGTATTTGGGGAAGTGATCTCATGATCATACCTTTATGGAGGTGATATTATGATCATCAAGTTTCATGTTTAGTTTTCAAATTTAGTTTATTCACCAAAGATAAATTAATATAATATAAATATGGATTAACCAGAAGAGCAAAGCTCGAAATTTGGTAACACTAGTAGTGCAATACATTTACATTTGACAAAACCATAGACAAAAACATAGGTGCAAGTCAGGACCGAACATAACATGTGTTAACAGACAACTCTACAATGAAAAATGTTGGCCCACTGAAGTTAGGGGAGGCGATCTTGAGATCATCATTTTCTTAGGGAGGTGATCTTGCATAAAATGTGTGGCATGATGTATTGATGCACTACCTCGGGGGGGGGGGGGGGGGTTTTGTAGTGCATACTGTAGGAGCCGAGACAAAATAAAACAAACTTTAAAATCAATAAAGTTATTTTGGGAAACAAAAATTTAATTTTTGCTTTTGGGGTCCTGGTATCTACGCTCCCTGGGCCCAGGGCTGCCAGGCTGGCCTGTATTGAATTGTTAGTAATGCATTCAATGGTGATACCCTCATTATTTTGTGATACATTATGTTGCATAGAAGTGATAACATAAATATCTTTAGGAGTTAAGGACATATTATTATATTAATACTAATGATAATTAATAGGAGATGATGGTTATTACTATAAATATATGGGTTTTTATATAAGTAATATTTTGCATGGCCATATAGGAAAACAGCTATATGTTATCTAGTTTTACTTGGTAAAAAAGAAAAATATTGAATTATTACAAAACAATAGTATAGTGGGGAAATGCTGTCATATTTACATTCAACAAATTACAAAATGTTTGAAAATGTATATCATAGAGCATAATTATCTACCAGAAATAAATGCATTACCTTAAAT